TAAGTAGATTATGACCGAGCTTTGCTCTGTTTTTTTTTTTTGATAACGCCATCTTGTTGTGTCTTTAAAGCGGTTAGTTGCCCTCAATTAAGAAAAATAGTATTATTATTCGCCAATAGATGTCGGGTAAAGTTGATTATTGAAAACACGAATAAAACAACATTTTCTGCAAATAAATCGTAGCTAGATCGATATATCGCCCCCGAAATGCCCTGTTACTAAATTTTATGAAAATCGTTGAAGCCGTTTCCGAGATTCAGATTATATATATAACTATATAATATACAAGAATTGCTCGTTTAAAGGTATAAGATTAAGTATGGTATATCACATTTCTATTTTGATGATAAGCAATTTTTCATAAAACGGATATTTGAATTATAGGAAAATTTTCTAAAAGACTAAGATTAATAAAAAAATAGATGTGAAGTACATCGTTAACCATTGGATTAAGGATTGACAATGTAAAGAAACAAATTAAATCAATTGTAAGCTTGTACTATACACAAATTAGAAGTTTACTACAATACATTTAATTTCCTTAAGCTCTTGTTTAAATTAAGGCATTACAATTCTTATCTTCGTTTGATTTGCACGACGAGAAGATACAAAGAGCAGGCTTGAGGGTGAAAACGGGGAATATTGTTTGGCGCGTTCTCCGATTGCGTTATGTAGGGCGCGGGGATTCCTATCCCCTTCTTTGTTGAGACTCGACTGACCTACAAACACAGTTTCGGATCCTCAGAGGAACCCTTTTATTGCATTATTATTCCCCGCTTTATTGAATTTATTAGAACTGAGATCGCTTCGTCAATGTGTCAATCTAAGATGCGCCGTAAGAGTTAGTTTAATGCCATAAAAAATAACTTGACATACGCGATCCACGTATTTTTGTTTTGTTTAACTACGATTTAAAAGTAGATAGAAAGGTATATAGTTAGAAAATGTAATGAAACGCTAAAAGTAACTCAATACAAAAATATTTATTCTTTTTTTTTTCCCTACCTAAGCTGGTAGAGAGGATATTACAGCGGAACCTTAACTAGTAGGTGAGCTTACGGGGCTCAAACCTGACGACGATGCTAACACGAACCCTAGCAAGAGTCGTGCTTCGCAGAATCTACCACCGGAAATATTTATTCTCACATATGACAGCACTTTTACCCCTACGCATTCGATATCAAATTTATTTATACTCGTCTCGCGTGGTTGCATGACCCGATCGAAAAAAGACAAGGAAATAATATACTCAATGACTTTTAATATTTACCTTACGTTCTCCCGCAATTGTTACTATTGAGGCATATTCTAATAAAAAGCCCGCGCTGCCGCAGCGCGTGATCCGCGGTGAATTGCTTTTAAGGATCCGATGCCATTTCTATATGATGCTTGTGAACCAAGCGAGTGCTCAGGCATACGCATGGAAATATATAGAGAATAGCACGGATATTTCGGTCTATTATCTTTGTTTTATTGGCCTCTGACATCGCTATGTTTGCGGTGTATTTCTCGTACCTTTTGTCATATTGCGTTTCATCGACAACGTCTTTGTTTGCAGCACAGAGTTTTGATCGTGGGTTTCTTTCTTTTTTCGTACCATATCTTACTTTTGCTTTTATTGTATATATTGACTATGTCGAAATGCGTTTAATTTAAAACTTTATAGTTTTCGTTATTCAATTAATTACATTGGCCCTGGTAAGTTATACTGTACTACGACACGGCTATAATGGCATGTTGGAGTGTGTGCCTCTAAATTTTGACTTTTGGGGTCTTATTCTATAGACTTATTAATGTCTTTCATCTGTATTTTTGTGGTACTTCAATGTGTAACGCTTAATTTAGTTTTATCATCGGTGTTAAGTTGATTTAGTTTTGTGAATGTTTATTTAGTTTGCTGCGAACATTTTTGATAGTACTGCATTTTAATAAGCAGTCACGAGGCTTGTGGAGAGTATCAAGCGGTAGGCAGCGGCTTGGCTCTGCCCCTGGCATTGCTGAAGTCCATGGGCGACGGTAACCACTCACCATCAGGTGGGCCGTATGCTCGTCTGCCTACAAGGGCAATAAAAAAAAAAGTCAACCATTTTACGTGAAACGTGCAAGTACCTCACATAAATAAGTATTCTCAAATGATATAACATACTATTTATTCATTTGTTAATACTTATTTATTATTGGACTGATGGTAGGACCTCTTGTGAGTTCAAATGGGTAGGTAGCACCTACCTGCCTATTTCTGCCGTGAAGCAGTAATGCGTTTCGGTTTGAAGGGTGGGGCTGCCGTTGTAACAATACTTGAGACCTTAGAACTTATATTTCAAGGTGGGTGCCGCATTTACGTTTGTAGATGTCTATGGACTCCAGTAACCATTTAACACCAGGTGGGCTGTGAGCTCGTCCACCCATCTAAGCAATAAATTTAAAAAAACACCGAAAACTCATTGATTGATATGTTATCTCGTGAATTTAAAATTGAGATCAAATGGAGTGTAGTTTTCTGATTAGTAGCCGGGAGGGCGCTGTAAGTGCCAATTAGGAGTGTTTACAAGAGCTTCACTTTGTAAATATTTACAGGCCTGTTACCTAACTACGTGCGAACGATCCCACTTCTCCCAATAATAAAATAACCCCGAATTTTCTGAACGCTAACGAAACATTTATTGACGACTAGCTGACCCGGCAGACTTCGTAGTGACTCAATCGATAAATAAAAGATCTAAACTTTTGTATAAAATAAAAACTTAAAACAAACAAAAGGAATCCGTCTGACGGGGGACACATCAAAGGAAAAACAAAATTGTTATTTTTATTTAATTCCAAGCATTTTCCTAATATTTATCTACCTTTTAAACCTTCTCTGGACTTTCACAAATAATTTGAGACCAAAATTAGCCAAATCGGTCCAGCCATTCTAGAGTTTTAGCGAGACTAACGAACAGCAATTCATTTTTATATATATAGATTCTAGTCGTGTAGGTTGATTGATACCTTTGTTGCTTGACTTACTTTATAGAACTTGTAAATTAGAGCCGTCGTAATATAAACGCATAATATTATGTAATAACAATGGACATAACATTCACTTGGCTGGAAAATGAGTTGTTGTAATTCTATTATTACAACTATACCTATTTGGATATTGGTGAATAATAAGAGTGAACGTTTTGGCCACAAATATGGGGTCATGAGAGAATTGTGTTTACGAAAACTGTTGTTTAATATTTTGATAACCGGATTGACCGACTTTCTACTTAATCAGTCAGTGGGGTACGAGATAGATATTATCCGGTTTCATTGACGGCTTAGTGTGGACTTCTCAATTTATTTAAAGCAACAAAACAACTATATTTATTAATTAATTAATTAATTAATTTTAATAATAATATTAATATAATAATAATGATATAATCCAATCTTTAAAAATATTAGACAGCAGTGAACACGTACATGACCATGCAAAAAGCCGCAATATTAAACATATGCCGTATAGTCTGTAAATTGTTGCGGGAAGAATTAAATATTCTGCAAGTCGAAAATGAAGCTCACTTGGCATAGGCCCGTGATCTTCATTATACCGAAATGTCTTAAATATTTCGAGTAATACAGTACCTTTCAAAATAATAATAATAAATTAATAATAATAATTAGACATTATTATTATTTTCTCCGGTTTTCGCTGGTCATAGATAATGGTTTAATCTCGCGTTTTTTTATAATCATTAATTTATATATTTAATTTCGCTCTTTCGTACCACGTACCAACGATATCAAAAAGATGACGCCATAAACACTATAATTTTTTACTCCATTCCCAATATATGTAATACAAAACTCTCGTGTATTTTTTGTCCAAACAAAACAATATCCAGAGAGTTCCTTGGCCTATCCATTACTTTAAGTGTATTTATGTGGGCTCCTTTGTAAGGTTAGAAGACGAATAGAGGCAATCGTCACGGTCCATCGGGCGTTATGACGCAGAAACTAACCGAAACACCAACACATTATGCTTGTTTGAAACGATACAGAGGCGTTTTGGGTAACGATTCTATTTAACGCCCGATAAATTGTCGCGGAAAGAGACGTGCTGGGCGAAGAGAGAAGTCATGGCTCCGGAATATCCGGGAGTGGACCGGTATTGCCTCCGTCGAACAGCTGTTCCGGCTGGCTGCTGATAAAAATGAATACAGGAAGCTAACCTTCAGGATTGAAGAGGCACTGGAAGAAGGAGAAGAAATTGTCGCGGTAGGCGGGCTTACGACAAACCAGATATTAAGTGCACACATTCCAATCAAAAGCGGGATGGGTATATTTTAATTGCAGACCGAACGAAGCGGTGGCAAACATTAATATACTCAAAAACATAGTAAAACTGACAAAAGAGAGAGAGAGAGAGAGAGCGAATATACTTTATTGCACACTAAAACTCAATTTCTTTTTTTTTTTAGACAGACAGTAAGTAGATATAGTACAATATGCAGCCTTATCGCTAAAAGCAGTTTCTTTCAAACAACCGTTTTATTTACGGAAACTCTGAAATGGTTTTTTTGCTTAGGTGGGTGGACGAGCTCGCAGCTCACCTAGTGTTAAGTAGTTACTGGAGCCCATAGACATCTACAACGTAAATAATGCCAACCGCCTCGAGATATGAGTTCTAAGGTCTCAATATAGTTACAACGACTGCCTCACCCTTCAAACCGAAAAGCATAACTGCTTCACGGCAGAAATAGACATGGTGGTGGTAGCTAACCGTGCGGACTCACAAGAGGTCCTACTACCAGTAATATAGATACAAATAAAGATACAGCAGGTATATCGCGGAGTACTATTAACGGAAAAGGTTTTTATTTATTTATTATGACTTCAACATTTACATTAAATGTTTAGAGAATTTGTAAAGCTGTCAGTTTGTTGAACAAAAACAAAAAATCGTTTCATCCAGTAATGATGAGAAGTCGAATTTCGTAATACAGTTCACTTGATTAATTGGATTGACTTACTTGACACTGTTGGGGGCCTTGTCGGTTGGGTGATGCGGGTTTGGGTCGGACCTTCTTCACGGCGAACGGGGGCTTGGCTTCGAGCCCTGTCACTGCAACGGACACTGTGGCTATACCGTTCAATATTCCGCTCGAAGTTGGCAATGACGTGGTGCAATCTGCGGACAGACGTATATATATGATTTAACTATAATTGAGGCCTATACTTGAGACCTATACTTGAGACCTTAGAACTTATATCTCAAGGTGGGTGGCGCATTTACATTGTAGATGTCCATGGGCTCCAGTAACCACTTAACACCAGGTGGGCTGTGAGCTCGTCCACCCATCTAAGCAATAAATAAAAAAATCTTAAATTCAACTTAAACAAAATTTTGCAAATTGTGATTTGATATTTCATCACAAAATAGTGTGCTATCTCTACACAAACACACATATCTACTTGCTATCAAACAAAGAATATCCGTAACTAGCACGAGATTCAATAATCCGGTAGCTGATTTCAGAAAAGACACCTTAATAATCACAATAATTATTACACGCGCTATGTAGTGAAAAAAAAATGTGAGCCGTCACGGGACGCCTGCTTGGCAGATGTGAAACATCGACATTATTTTGTAAAAGTAATATGCAGAAAAGAACAGATTGTGATAGGAACTAAATATGTCATAATGATAAAATAAAATATTACGAAAAAATAATTTGTTTTCAAGTAAAACACAGGTTATGTGTATTGTAGTAAACAACACTGTATTACATACACTATGGAGTATACACTATAGGTATCCGAGCTCAGTGTAGCGAGAGAGATGGCTTAACGCCGGATCGAGTGGGAGAGAATCGCACAGTCGATTGCGCATGGCGACGCGTCGCCACACCGTACACACTACTGCATATAGACTGTATATATATACCATCATATAGCGTGGCGACGCGTCGCCGTGGCATGCGTCGCCACGCCAGAAATCGGCTTTACGTGCGGCTATAGATGTTTCACATCAGAAAATATTTAATTTTCACCTCCCTTCAAGTAGTCCCTATTATTGAAACTAACCTAATAATAGCTTGTTTATTTAATAAAGTTCGTGAACGCTAAAGTAAGTAAACGACTGATCGTGTACTTAATGAATATTTCAACTTGAATCAGCGGTATATCCTAATTTCGAGCGCTGGATATTAATTTAGAAAGCAAACAAGCGAATTGAAATGTACCCCCTCGAATTTCAGAGTTGTTCCACCTTTTTCGGACGTTCCGTTAAAAACTGTTGAATCAAGCGAAAGCGAAGACTGTTTGCCGAGAGGATCGATATCGTGAAAACACGTAATCCGAGTTGCTCTGCAATAATTTGATTTGCGTTTGAAATTACACGTTTTTTTTTCTGTCGCGTTTTATTGAATATCATTGTACTTTTTTTTTTTTGCTTAGATGTGTGAACATATCCACAAAAAATATTAGTCAGTCTTATTATCGAGCCAAAGGCTTCAATCTCAGGTTTAGTCTTTGGATTAATAGAATTTTTGAATAATTTTTAATTTTCGTGACCATAGAACGACAAATATATTTTTTATTGCTTAGATGGGTGGACGAGCCCATATACATCTACGACGTAAATCCGCCACCCGCCTTGAGATATAAGTTCTGAGGTCTCAAGTATAGTTACAACGGCTGCCCCACCCTTCAAACCGAAACGCATTACTGCTTCACGGCAGAAATAGGCAGGGTGGTGGTACCTACCCGAGCGGAATCACTAGAGGTTCTACCATCAGTAAAAACTTACTTACTAACAGTACTTATACTCAAAGCGTAAATTTTCAGAGAGAACGTTCGAGTTACTGTTCACTGTATAATATTATAATTCTTTTTTTTTTTGTAAACAGTATTCGTCAATAGCTAATGAAATACCAATAAAATACATTCGATTGACTGAGCTCGTTCCGCTCGCGTGAACACTCTGTAGGCGAGTATTTATTCCACATTCGCTCTCTCATTTCCTGGCATAATTAATCTGACGTTTGTTTTGGGATACGTCTATTAAGAACAAATGTTAGAGGAGGCTCTATGCAAAGCTTAGCCTTTGAATAATTTAACGGCAGCCGGCTTCGAACAGAAGTAAATAGCTTTACAATTTACTGGCGTATTGTAAGTAGGTGCTACTACTTCTCTGCCACAAAGGAGTCATTATTTTCGATTTGAAAAACGCGATAGCCGTTACACAATCCAACCGAGACTGTGACTTCATGTCTCACTTAGCACTCTACCGCCTTTTTTTTTTCGGGCCGAACCTCCTACGCACCTAAAGCACTCGGGGATATGTGGGACTGGTCCATGACTGCGAGCCGCGGGCCCAAGGATGTTTTTAGAACCCTACCCACTACACGACTCCTCTGCACTCTTCGCCCAAGCGTCTGACCCCCTCCGAGGTCAGAACCCGGATAAGGTAAGGGGATTACTACGGTTAACACTTCAACGGTGACCTTCACCGGTGGAACCACCCTACCACCACCATTTTTTGTCGGGCAGGGGGCCGAACCTCATACGAGGTGTCCACACTTAAGGGGCATGCGGGGCATGTGTAAGGATGATTTTAGGGGCCTATACCTCCCACCTTACCACAAGAAAATGCTGGTAAAAAATCGTAGTGCACTAGTATCATCCGCAGACCATTCGTACGAAATACGTACATAGCAAATGTTCACGATTCACTTCCACAGAGAAGGAATAACATCGTGCAATAAAAATCAAACCCGCAAAATTATAATTTGTATAATTACTTGTGGTAGTACCTCTTGTGAGTCCGCACCGGTAGGCACCACAACTCTGCCTATTTCTGCCGTGAGTAGTAACGTGTTTCAGTTTGAAGGGTGGGGCAGCCGTTGTAACTATACTCAACTGAACTCATATCTCAAGGCGGGTGGCGGAATTTACGTTGTAGATGTCTATGGGCTCCAGTAAACACATAACAACAGGTGGGCTGTGAGCTCGTTCACCCATAATTTACAATTTAATCTCGCCTTTATTGTTTTCGACGAACAAAAACTTCACAGTTTTTGTGATCACGGACGATGGAAATTACTATTATACATGGGCATATTACATAAAGTGGTAAGTCCCTTAAGATCTGAATTAATTAAATGTTAAATTAATTAATGCAGATGTTTTTGAAGCCGTATAAAAAATAGTTATCAACGTAACGAATGGTACTTCGACACAAAAGATTCAGTCTACGGTCAGTCCAAGACGGACATGGCCAGCGTCCATATATTCTTGAACCCGATCAGTTGTGTTCACTATTGATTCTCAGGCCATCACTCCGGATGGGGTGTTCTTTGTCATTGGACGCGTCCCATTAGTTTGTTTATGTTTGTGCGAGCCGCGTATCCATCTCGGCTGACCGGAGGCGGCTAATGGAATACGAGAAAAATCTCCCGCAATATCTCAAACTGGGCACACATCAGTAACGGAACGGCAAATTTTTGAGAGGTCGCTCAGATGAATAGATAACATTGCCTCTTTGAACGTTGAAGATGTTGATTCACGAAGTAAACTTTGTTTTATTTTGTTACTAGCTTTTGCCCGCCACTTCGTCCGCGTGGAATAGTTCACAAATAACGCTTTATTTTAGAACAAATTTGGTTAGTATCAAAAACGTTATAGTGAGTCAACCTTAACATATAGATATGCTGTCGCGAACTTTTTTTTAGATCTTTTAAAGGGGAACAATTTTGTCATACATTATTTTAGCGAAATTTTAACCGTTTCTGCAGCGCACGCAGCGGAAGCTCTCAAAAGAAGAAAAAAAAACCCGATTTTGAAACATTCTTTATTGGTGCTCCGCTTGTATTGGTCTTAGTGCGATGTTATATAGCCTATAGCCTTCTTCGATAAATGGGCTATCTAACACTCAAAGAATTTTTCAAATCGCGCGTTCAAACAAACAAACTCTTCAGCTTTATAATATCAGTATAGATTCGAGCTTCAGCGCATTGTTTCGTTAGAAAAATAGTTAGGATGTTTTTAGGCGTTCGTGAACGCGTATTATGTTTATTTAGTAAAATTAATGGTACCTAGCATGAATAATTTCGACTCTGGCATAGGCACATTACTGGCTTGACACGAATGGTTTTCTTAGACATTACTCCACGCGTTACCACCACCCTGCCTATTTCTGCCGTGAAGCAGTAATGCGTTTCGGTTTGAAGGGTGGGGCAGCCGTTGTAACTATAGTGAGACCTTAGAACTTATATCTCAAGGTGGGCGGAACATTTACGTTGTAGATGTCTATGGGCTCCAGTAACCACTTCACACCAGGTGGGCTGTAAGCTCATCCACACATCTAAGCAATAAAAAACTTTTTCAATTAAAACCACTTTTATTCTGTTAAATAGTTATTATCGACCCTAATTAGCGTTTATTAATATACGGAATTTTAAAAAATTTTCTCTACACTTTATTAGATTTAGTTACTCCCACGTTCATTTTAATGTTTAATTCGATATTCATTTTATCCGAGCTGTGAAAGTCATGTCTGATTTCTCTTTGTAGAAAGAACTATTGACGCGTGAAGCGGGCCTGAACTTTTTATTTAAATATCTAATTAATATAAAGTCAGCAAATTGGGTAAGCACATTCGTCGTATTGCGTGTGAACCTAATTTATCTAACAACTTTTTCTTACACGCTTAAGGCAAGAGAAGTTTGGCGAAATCACTAATAAGCAAACTTTTAGAGCCTAACAAAAATAAAGTAATTTGAGAAAAGCGAGTAATACCGGTAATTATAATGAAGATTCTGACTAATGAATGTTCTCTAACATTATTTAATGTTTTTTTTTTCATTTACCATTACTAAGACAAAAAGGCGATAGGTAGCCCGACAATTTATTATACTTCAAGTTCCCTATACATATTATTATATTTCAACCAATTACTATATTTAAATTGATTTTAATAATGATGATGAAATTTTAGTATTTTTAATTAAATTTAGAACATTAGGGCATCTAATTAATTTTCGAAGGTGAATATGTGCTCTGAGCTAAACAGGCTCGTGTACCTCTCCCCTAGAAACTTATAGGCGCTTCATTGTTCGCTCGTTAATACTCATATTATGTAAATAAAGGAACTAAAGCTACACCTGTACATTAATTACAATTTAAAAC